GAATAATTTAGAATTATTATAATTAATTTAATATATTTATTAAATAATATGTAAAATCAATTTTTCTGAAAAATATAATATTATAATAAAATTAGACATGTCAACAATAAATTACATGTAAACATCGTATATGAACTATAAAATAACATATAAATCTAGTAACTTGTGTCATGTCGTATTAATTCAAATAAAAAAGTTATTATTGTTGAAATGAGAAAAAGTTCAAAGTACAATGCCTTAATGTATATTAATTTAAAAATATATTATTATAATAAAAAAAATGAAAATAAAATGTTATAATAAAATAATTTGAAAGTAGGTTGTTATTTTTAACACTTAACTTTCTTTTGAGAATCCATTAAATTATGATAACATTGACAATTTGTGCATCTTGTGTTATATCATAATATTTTTTTTTAATCTAAAAGTAGGATTAGAATATTGACAAAAGAAATATATTTATTTCACAAGGTGTTTGTTTAGATGTATTCGGTTCACAATGTGAACTTTTTTTACGCATTAGTGAAACAAAAAATACACGTAAAAAGGTTTCACATTGTGAATCGAATACATATGAAACAAATATATGTTAATCAATACATTAAATAATATACTTAGAATGAAAAAAAAAATTGAAACAAATTTTAGAGTTTTCAAATGATTAACTCTCTATATATCTATATATATAGATATGTATATAGTCTTTTTTTCACTTCTACAAAACTTTCTCCATTAATATAATTACTGATTTTTTTGAAAACAGTTATTTTTTTATTTACAGATTTTTACTTAAAAGTGGTTTGTTTGACATTTGATAAGACGGTAAATATGGTGTTTTCGATCTTGGAATATATGGTGTCTTTGATCTTGGAATATATTCTTTACATTTCCAAGTCAGCTTGTGTTACTATGACGCTATTTTTGTCATTTTCAAAAGTACAAACATGCAACCTAACTGTTGTACTAAGCATGAAAGTGAATTCAGCCATATAATTGTTTGTCTTTTGGGTTGTTGCATACATGCATGGTCTCAAGCATGAGGATTTGGTCCCAATACCATGCTTTAATTAATTCATCTGGTTTTCTGTTCCACGGTTTCTTTTTAAAATTCTCGAAACTTTGTAAGCTATAATTCTTTTACAAAATTACCCCCACCCTTTGAGGTAGATGAAAAATCTATACACATTCTATACCCAAGACACTGTATTCGAGTGGAATACGTTTGGTTTGATAGTTACGTGTATATTTTGCGTTTAATAACTTGTAAGTGATTAGGTCATTAATTTGAGTTGGGGTTGAAGCATATTCAGAAGTGGTAGTGGTGTTTGCCTTAAAAGAAAAACAAGTAACAAACATGGTCATTTGTATAGCTTGTTCCTTACCACTTTTAAGACAGTGACCATCCAAAAAAGTGCTTATTGGAGTACCCACAGGCTTATATTGAAGAATGGTTGGATGATGTTTGAGAAATTAAATGTATTAGTAACGTTCATTCAACGTTACTAGTACATTACCACGTTGATATATAGCTACGATTTAGTTTTTGAATTTTACATGAGTTTATTTGTTTTATTTCCCAAAATGTTATTATACAGTTTTCCTCCATATTTTGTCATGAAAAAAATACTTCTTAAAAGAATATACAGTATCTTTTTGTTAATACGTATGTAATAAAATAAAAAATGAAAATAACTCATTCAGTTCTATTATTTGAAAAATGTAGGTTTTGGAGAACTTATTTTCAGACATGACTGTATACAAATATTTTTTAAAATATATGCTTTTAACAAGTCTTCTAAAAATTTATTATTTAAAAATAATAATTGAATAAAGATAATATCTATACTATATTATAAAGCATTTGGCAAAAACTCTTAAAAACTACTTTTTATGTGTAAAGTACTGTTTATTAATGCATATTACTTAAAACTCAATATTGCAAGTAGATTGTGCGTAAGTACAACTTATTAAAGCTCCATGTCTGAATTCGTGTAACTAACTGCAGATAAACATAATCAAATACAGGACAAACATCTCATTTTAACTATAAAAAAATCTAAAATATAATTAGGATAATCATTGAGTTCTAACATAATACTTAATTATTGTCTTTATAAAATGTTATATTATTAAACCAAAAATATATTATTTCGTTATTAAACTTAAATTAAATTATAATAAAAATAAATAAATTGAAGAAATTAC